AGTGGGAGCGCTGCTTGGCTGACCAGGATGAGCGGCTGCTCCTGCTGTGAACACCGGGCTGACAGGCAGGAACCCGGGCTGCGATCCTCAGCTTCTCGCCCCAGGCTCCTCCTCCTCGTTCCCTGCCGCCTCCTCCGGATGCCCACAGGCTGTGCAGCGCAGCCGCTGGGCTTGCAGAGCTGACCCCGGAGGCTGGGAGACAGGTTCATGGCCACCACGGGACTGAGGCCTACTCCACCGCCTCTCAGTGCTATTTTCCCCGAATGGGTCCCCTGGAGAGGCGAACGTTGGACCAGGGAACGGCCGCTCAGAGGGCAGGTTCACAGCCACTCGACTGACCAGGATGAATGGTGCTCCCACAGCAGGTGATCCCAGCAGGCCACTCCCCCCACCAGTGCATGAATCCCATGCACCAGGCCTCTAGTATTTATATAATGGAATACTATGCAGCTGTAAAAAAAAAATTTCTTACCCTTTGAGACGGCATGGATGGACCTGGAGATTACCCTAAGTAAAATAAGCCAGTCAGAGAAAGACAAATATCACATGATCTCACTTATGTGTGGAATCTAATGAACAAATAGGTCCAGAGACATAGAAGCATGGAACAGACTGACAAATCTCAGAGGGAAGGGGAGAGGAGGAGGTGGGAAGATATTAACCAAAGAACTTATATGCATATCTGCATAGCCCATGGACACAGATGATAGTAAAGTGAAGGCCTGGGGTGGGGCAGGAGACAAGTGGAGGAAAGTAAAGGGGTTGGGGGGAAGAGGGACATCTGTAATATTCTCAACAATAAAAATAAATTTTAAAAAATATATCCTCAGGTGAGGGTTTAAAAAAAAGTCTGAATTGTTAAAATTACTTGGGCTTCCCTGGCCAGGTCACTCAGTTGGTTGGAGCTTCACCCTGAAGATCCAAAGATTTTGAGTTCAATCCCCAGCCATGGTGTGTATGGGTGACAACCGATTGATGTTTCTCTCTTTCTCTCCACCTTCCTCTCTCTAAACATATCCTCGGGTATTTTTGTTGTTGCTGCTGTTAATCCTCATCTGAGGGTATTTTTTCCATTTATTTTTATTTTTTTTAATATATTTTATTGATTTTTTTTATAGAGAGGAAGGGAGAAGAATAGAGAGCTAGAAACATTGATGAGAATGAAACATCAATCAGCTGCCTCCTGCACACCTCCCACTGGGGATGTGCACGCAACCAAGGTACATGCCCTTGACTGGAATCGAACTTGGGACCTTTCAGTCCGCAGGCCGAGCTCTATCCATTGAGTCAAACCGATTAGGGCTCCATTGATTTTTAGATAGAGAGGAAAGTAGGGAGGGGAGGGACGGAGGGAGGGAGGGGATATACAGCAGTGTGAGACACACTGATTGGTTGCTTCCTGCATACTCTCTGACTAGGGTTGGGGGTCAAACCTGCAAACCAGGCACATGCCGTAGACTGGGAATCAAACCCAAGACCCTTTGGTGCACAAGCTGATGCTCTAACCAATGAGCATACTGGCCAGGGCTGGGGTGAGGATTTTTTTTTTAATCTTTTTTTTTTTCCAAATATATTTTATTGATTTTACAGAGGGAGAGGGGGAGAGAGAAACATCAGTGATGAGAGAGAATCATTGATTGGCTGCCTCCTGCACGCCCCCTAGTGGGGATCCAGCCGCGACCCAGGCATGGTGCCTTGGCCAGAATCGAACTCTGGGACCTCAGTCCACAGGCCAACCCTCTATCCATTGAGCCAAACCAGCTAGGGCAAGGATTTTTTTTTTTTTTTAATTACTTAGGCTACCAGTGCATAGAACAGGCTGGAGAGTGGCAATGAGTGAATGCTGCCATGAGGCAGAGATTCAGGCAAAATGATTGGGGCCTTGCCCTGGCTGGTTTGGCTCAGTGGATAGAGCATCGGCCTGCAGATTGAAAGGTCCCAGGTTCAATTCCAAACAAGGGCACATGCGTAGGTTGTGGGCTCGATCCCCAGTAGGGAGCTTGCAGGAGGCAGTCAATCAGTGATTCTCTCTTATCATTCATGTTTCCATCTCTCTCTCCCTCTCTCTTTCTCTCTGAAATCAATAAAAATATTTTTTTAAAAAAATGATAGGGGCCTGGACTCAGGTGGTGGCGGTGACAATGGAGGTAAGCTGACAAACTCAGGTTGCACCCGTGAGCGAAAATGTGTAGGACTTACTGGCAGACCGGTGAGGGTTGAATAGTGAGCAGAAGTGGGCAACAAGGAGGATCAATTGGTCTGTGTGTGGATGGTCTGGGGAGAGTCAGGCAGCACAGTTTTAAGTGAGGAGGGAGGATGGATATCATGAGGGGGGTTAATATAATGAGTCCAATGTAGAAAGTAAAAATGAGCTTGCTCTGAGACAGTGAAACTCTGTCCTGCAATTGTCAGGCTGGGACAAGACACACAGTAAGCTAGCTGCCACGTTAACAGGAAACAATACTTCTCTCACGGACACACTGCAACTGTAAAAGAGCCATAAGGACCCCTTCTTTCAGTGATTGCTAGTTTCTTATTCAGAGAAAGCTTATTCTGTAAAATCCCACACTACCAGAAATTTTACTTATACCAGTAAGAAGGAAACAGCCCACTCACCTACAGAATCAAAATCACTGGGACCGAGCAGCAGCCTTGGTTTCCAGCTAGCTGCAGGGATTCAAATAAGGATTTCTAGACACTAAGTCCACATCGATGTAAGTTTTGTAGTTTTCAAGGAAACAGGCCCTGGGTCCACTGCAGTGAGACCTGATGCCGACTGCTTAGAGCCCATCAATCATGACTTCACTTGCACTTCACCTAACTCCACCCTGCCCAAATGCTACAGCAGCTCTGTCCTTTTGTTTCTTGGCATGATGCCCAGGCTCCTCTGGTGTGTGGTCTCCCTCACTACAATGAGCCCATAAACCCCACCTTGGGAGACTACCAGGTCCTTTCTGATGGCCATAGACTGATTAGGCTGGGACAAACATTTAGAATTTTAAGTGATTGCCAAACACGTGAGAATAAATACCACACAGCAGTTAGGGCATGAGCCTGGAGGAGGTCTGAGCTAGAGATAAATGCAGGGGCCACTGGCACCAAGATGGTAACTGAAGCTGTGGGCATAGACTGCCCACAGAGAGGTCATGGAGTGAGGAGAGAGTGGGCCTAGGCCTGAGCCCCAAGAAACTCCATTGGCTGACAAAGAAGGATGAATCAGCAGAGGAAAGTGAGAAGAAATGGCTTGAGATCAGTGAGGAAAGAGGTGACTACATGGCATGCGAAAGGGCAAGATCCCCTGAAGTCTAACGTTGATCATGTCACCAGACTCATGGGTGGCCCTGGCTTTTGTGAGCACAATTTGATTTTGGCAGAGGAATGATCTCCAAAGACTGACCCATGCTCATCTGTTCATGAGACCCTGGTACACTTTTCAGAATGCCAGTTTTACTAATTTGCATATTGTCACTCTCTGCTACCAGTTACCACTTTCCTTCCTTGAAGATAAATGCACTTGGGATGACTGACTGTTCTCAGAAGGTTGCTGGATGAGCAAGGCATCAGAACTGGGAAGTTTAAGAAGCCAATGACCTGAAGCCATGGTAACCAGTGACATGGACATATCCAGCAGGGTCCTGATGGGAAACAAATCAACCCAGATGTTGAGACTTTATGGGATCGCAAAGAGACCCAACAGGGATGGTGAAGCACCCAGGGACTAGCACTGCCCTCAGCTAAAGGAATGAGGGGGGAAAACGGTGTTACTGGAGCCCAGTGAGAGCTGAGACTGTGGAGGAAGGTTTAGTGGGAGTCACAGCTATGGAGAGCAGGAAGAAACACTCCAACCCCTCTCCCCTCTGATGCCTTCCATTGGGGATCCCTGCCGGCAGCCAGCAAGGGAGCCAGAGGCAAGCATTCTGCAGGAACCTACAGCACATAGCAGAGGAGAGTGGAACTGAGGATTCCAGAGAGACAATAAACGGGGCAGGGAGTTATGGCGACGATGAGCATTCTCCCGGCTAACTGAATGTGCCTGCCCCCTGACCAAACACATCTGCACAAAGTAGAAACTTGTACTATTAAGATAACTTCTTGCCTGGACTAGTGCTAGAAACACAACCTACACCCCCTTGATGCACCTTTTCTACAGGTGATGGCAAATAGATGCATTGTGGTGACTCAACCTTAACCACTGAAAGTCGATTCTGATTATAATTCAGCTTCAATTAGGCAAGTGCTGAATCAATCCTAGAATATCTCCAGGAACGTAAATAGGCTCCTGGATTGATATCTTATGTGACAGCTCAGCTCAACTCTCATCGTCTAAATGGACAAGGGATAGAAACTGACCAACCCATCAACCTAGAGACAAGCAAGCACACATTCAGCCATCTCTACAGATGCATTTAACTGCATGGCAAGATCCTTAACTTCTACCAGTAAGGACTTAATTTTTGGAGCAGAGCTTTTAAATTATAAAAAATAGCCCTGGCTGATTTGGCTCAGTGGATAGAGCGTCGGCCTGTGGACTGAAGGGTCTGAGGTTCGATTCCAGTCAAGGGCATGTACCTTGGTTGTGGGCACACCCCCAGTAGGAGATGTACAGGAGGCAGCTGATCGATGTTTCTCTCTCATTGATGTTTCTAACTCTCTATCCCTCTCCCTTCTTCTCTATAAAAATATCAATAAAATATATATATATATATATATAAAATTCTTCTGCCAAGGAAGGAGGTGGAGAGAAAGAGAAGCTGGTAATAGATACTTCAGAGAGCTAGCAACCCTTCCTCCAACACAAACAACACATGTCCCAGTCACTCATTCGAGCCCCTCCCTTTCTAACTTTGTCTTATCTGACTCTCCCAAATGTAATGAAGGACTAGAACGGTACCTTGAGGTTTATTTACAATTACTTTACCGTTACCTATGTAAGCAAGGTAAACATGCTGGACCAGACTGCTGTCACCAACAACGACTGCTAGGGAGGAAGCAAGACTCACTTTTTTCTACAACCTTTAATTTCTGGAAGCTTTCCAGTACTTCCCCGTTTAGTATCCGGGGTAGGAAGTCCCGTATCTGCATCACTTCAGTCGTCAGCCGTTCCAGATCCTTCTTCCGGACTTTAACAAACTCTTCTTTAGTTCCCATAAGCTGGAAGAACAAACAGGTCTTCAGATTATTACATTTCTCTTCCGGTGACTAGAACCAGCAGCCCCTCAGCCTGCTTCCCTTTTCACACCTTTCACCTTCATAGCTTCAAACGCACGTCTGTGCCTACAGCGCCCTCTGCTGTACAGATCACACCTTAGAGCCCACGCCCCAGCCTACACAACGGGAGCTACTTCTTCACGTGCATACGAGGCCCCCAGTACCTGAACGTCCAAGAAAACGCCAGCAACTTCTCCCTAACGTTTCAGCGCCCAGCTCATCGGGAGGAAAGGGAGTTTCCTAGATTCCTACCGGGTGCCCAAGCCCTCGGATGGCCCCCTCATTCAGTGTCCACCGAAACCCTTCCAGGTTGCCCGGGTCAGAAACAGGAAGTGGGGTGACTCAAAGCACCGCCATTAACAGGGGACAGAACCAAGATCCTTCTCCTCCATCGCGTGTGGTGGAAGAGACATCAGGGCGACTGGAAATCTACACTAAGCCCTGACACAGCCTCACAGCCTCGCGGGGAGGGTCGGCTCCGGTGTCCGAGGGGCACCACCGCCATCTCGTGTTCCCGCGCCCACCGCGCAGCCTCCTGGACCCGCCTCCAGGATCAGAGGCAGGGTCGCTTGGCCTGCTCCCCAGGCCCAGGCCACGCCAGAGGCTCAAAGAGGCCCAGGGCCGTTTTCAGGCGCCCTGGACAAGGCCGACAGAGTCGGCAGTAAGCGAGGGTAAGCAAAGGGTGGCCGCTCAGACACGCGGGCAGCAGCCCGGGCCTCCCCACTGACCCCGCAGACCTCCTCAGCGCCGCCCGCCTCGCCCATGGCCGCCGAGGTCCTGGCTCCGTGCCCTCTGACCCCTCACACCAGAATGCGCGGGAAATAGCGCGAGAACGTGAGCACCACGGTGGTCGGGTATGGAGAGCGGCAAGGCTCAAACCTCGTGGAGTTTGCACGGCATTCTCTGCCCCGTGGACCGGGGGTCGCTCTTCCGGCTTAGCTGGGGTTTTAAACTTGTTCACCGCCAAGTGGAAAAACAGTAAGACCCGGGTGTAAGCAGTGAGTGAAATACTGTTTGCGGAGAGATGCTAAACTAAGGGACCATGCATTCAAGGGCACTGCCCGCCCGCGCTCAGTCCGAGCTCCTCTAGCGAGGGTGGACGGCGTCTAACAGGTTCTTGGGGAAGTCTGCCCCTGTTAGGGAGTGTCGGTGCAGCCAGCTAGCCCTAACTGAGATGACCAGCATAAACTTGGAGACGTCTCCTAGTCCACTCGCTTGTCCCAGATAGGCCCGCTGGGTTCTCAAAATACGGTGCAGCTTATGGGTTGAAATACACCGGGTTACTTTACGACTAAGTCTTAGTCATTAAGTCACTAAGACTTCGTTTGTCTCTGAAACTCGCAGGAAGTGGACACTGCCGAGTCCCAGAGTGCGTGCTCTCCAAGCCTGAGGGCGGTCTCACGAGGACACTCCAGATCCCTGTCCCCGCCTGGAACCTGCCTGCACTTGCCCTTTCCCTGCCCCAGGCCCAACCTCCGCACAGGGACCTGCCCTCCACCCCGGGACCTGCCATCCCCTGCCCTGGGCCCTGCCCTGCTGGCATTCAAGCACCTGTGCCCGCACTGGGACCTGCCCCTGCACCAGGACCAAGACACGGGGAGACGCGGGAAGGGCGCTGCCTACGCCTGGCCATGGAGGCCTCTCCATGGGGCTGTCCCCAACATCCCGCCAACAAAGCGAGGAACGGCCCTTCTTCCCAGGCTCCACCTGCCGAACAGTACCAGAAGTCTGATACAGTTAAAAACTCGGTGCCGTGTATTTTGCAGGACAGCTGCCAACCAAATGGGTATTTTTGTGAGTGAACTTAGAGATTCTAGGCCTTTTACAACTGGCCATCCGACTCTTCCTGGCCAAGACCCAGCCCTGGCTAACCTCGCCGTCAACGGCCTGGCGCCCTATCAACCGAACAACAGCGAAGGCGCGACGCCAACCATCACTGGCTTGTTTCGCCAGATGCCCGGGCTGGCGGCGCTCGCTCCCAGAACGCGCTGCGAGGGCCGGCGGCGCCTTTGTGACGTCATCACCCCCGCGCCGCCGCCGCCGCCGCGTTCTGCGCAGTTGCGGCCGGAGCGGCGCGGCGGCGGTCGCTTGGCAGCGGCGGAAGGCTAAGGGGTGGCGGGTTGTGGCCGGGGATGCTCCGGCGGGTTGGAGGGCCCCCGCCATGCAGCCTGCCGAGATCCAGTTCGCCCAGCGGCTGGCGTCCCACGAGAAGGGCATCCGGGACCGGGCGGTGAAGAAGCTGCGCCAGTACATCAGCGTGAAGACGCAGCGGGAGACAGGTGGGCGCCCAGCGGTCAGCCGCGCCACATGGCGGCAGGACGGGCCGCGCTCCGCCCCGACTTCGGCCGCGTGCTCCTGTGTGTGTGTGTGTGTGTGCGCCCCGGGGGTCTAGTCTCGTTTCACATTTAGGGGAGAGAGGCGGCCGGGGGTTAGGGAGTCTGATGGAAGTCCCGGCGAGTGAGGACACTGAGAGTAGACCCCGTCTGTCCGACACCGAGCCGATGCCTTACGTACCAGGCTCAGCCTGATCCATCCTGCTGGGCGCCTCACGGAATCGTGCCATCATCAGACCCGTGCTTTCAGGAGCTGGGGTGACGGGGGAGAAGACAGCCCTGTCCTAGAGGAACTTGTGCTCGTAAAGCCGGGGCGGGGAGGTCAGGAGGAGGGAGCTTTCGTAGTGTAAGTAACGGAAATGGAGATCGTAGGCGGTGGTCCAGGGAGGCCGCTCTGGGGCGAGGTTGCACGGAGCCAAGCAGAGGCGGGAGGAAGAGCGGAGCAGGCCCAAGAAATGCTGGGGAGACCAGGAAGTCAGGGCGGGTGAGGCCGGGTCACTTTGGGGGTTGGAGTTGGATTGTAACCGCAGCGGGTGCTGTTGAAGGATTTCGTTTACGCGATGCAATATGTGTCCTGTAGATCCTTATGCTCCCTGAGGTGTGAACTGCCATACGAAGGGAGGCTTTCTATTGCACTGAGATAAAGTTGACTTTATTTACTAGTCCACTGAGAGTCTACTTGAAACAGTAAGTGTTACCTCCCCCTATACTGACATTGTCAGTTTATTTACTTAGAAAAGGACACCCAGGAAAAAGGAAATATGATATTATGGGAAGTCTGCTAGAAAGAGGAATGAAGACCAAAATTCTCGATTTCAATTGTGTTGGGATCTCCCTTGACAGACTTAACTTACTCTCCTGGTTTTAGGTATCCCAGATATATTGAAGGCTCTTCAATCTAAACGTCTAGCCCTAACCGGTTTGGCTCAGTGGATAGAGCATTGGCCTGGGGACTCTAGGGTCCCAGGTTCAATTCCATTCAAGGGCATGTACCTTGGTTGCGGGCACATCCCCAGTAGGAGGTGTGCAGGAGGCAGCAGATCGATGTTTCTCTCTCATCGATGTTTCTCTCTCATCGATGTTTCTAAGTCTCTATCCCTCTCCATTGCTCTATGTAAAAAATCGATAAAATATATATTTTTTAAAAAATCTAAATGTCTAGCCAAGTCCTTCACTACTTTCAGCTCAGCTGTGCCCCACTAACTGGGCCTCTCCACCTGGATGTCCCACAGGCACCTCGGACTCAGAATGCCTGAAAGGGACTCATTTTCTTCCCCCAAAAAACTGTTCTCTTCTGCTGCCCATCTGCCACCTGTTCTTAGTTTGTTCCCACCATCCACTCAGACTCGAGCTGGATTCATGGTATTGTCCTGGACTTCCCTCTTCCTCACCCTCTCCAACCCCCACCCCCCCATCCAGTATCCTTCAGTCATACCTGTTTCATCTCCTGAATTAGTCTTTTCTGGCCCATATCTTCTTTATCTCATCTGGGCTTCTGTACTGGCTTATTTCCTAACTGATTTCCTTGACTCCTCTTGTGCCCCCCTTGAACCCATCCTCCATAAACCAGCTCAGAGTCATCTTCCTAAAACAGCTCTGATCTCCTCACCACCTTCCTGGAATTCCAGGCCTGCAAATCACCTCTCCTCCCCTTTTCTTTCCGCCTAATCCCCTACATGGCTGCCTCCTGCGCTAACAGCAAACCATTCCTGGGTGCTGGTGTACCTGTCCTATGTCTCACCTCTCCGCCTTTGCTTCTCTTGTGCACGCCGAAAAGATTCCCACTCTTGATCCACTCCCGGTATTCAGTGTCACTCTTCTTATCATCTCACCCCCTCTCTAGGATTCTGAAATACCCAGTTTGTCTCTATTGTAGTACTTGGCTACATTGCTTCCTAATTATCTGTTAATGTGTCGCTCCTACCTCAAAACACTGTAAGCGTCCATCTGTTTTCTTAGCTGGAGTGGGAGCACATCCAGGCGTACAAGGGCCTGGTTGTATACAAGAACAGAAGAAAGGCCAGATGCAGTGCATATGGGCTGAGACAGCCAGAAAGAACCTGTTCCTCAAACCCCTTTGGTGAGCAGGTTCAGGATCTGAGATGCTGAGGCAGGGGCATGAGGCCAGTGGTTTTACACCAACCAGTGCCCCAGGGTGTTGTCTGGTTAGCACCCATCAGACCTAGAGTTACTTGTCTGGTACCTCTTGTTCATCGCTGTATCCACGTTGCAAGAGAATAGTGGCCCTTCAGAAAACTAACTGCAGAGTGAATGTCATAGAGGAGGTGATGGGACAGAATAAGCAAGGTCTCTGCCACAGCTGTGCGCCATCAAAATAGAAACACAAGTTTGGAAATAACTGGGCCTGACATTTGAATCTCATTGACAGGCTGAAATTTTTTTGTGTCTTGTCTTGGGCATAGTAAAAAAAAAAATCTGATATTTTACTTTTTTTTAAATACAAATATTTTTTGAATTCTCAGATATGTTTAATATATTTTTATTTATTTCAGAGGGGAAGGGAGAGGTAGAGAGAGATAGAAACATCAATGATAAGAGAGAATCATTGATTGGCTGCCTCCTGCACGCCCCACACTGGGAATTGAGCCCACAACCCGGACATATGCCCTGACCCAGAATCGAACCATGACCTCCTGGTTCATAGATTGATGCTCAGCCACTGAGCCATGCCAGCCAGGCACATAGCTTTGTGATTTTAAAAACAAATTAGAAGTCTCTGTACCGCTTAAAGCAACTAAATGTTGCCCGAGTGCTCTATCAGTTCTTCAACTTTAATTTGCATTCTTTTTTTATTTTTATTTTTGTGGCACAAAAGATAGTACATGTTACAGTTGGTGGGTGTTAGATTTGTGGCAGTACTGGGTGAAATAAGTGTTTTTTTCATACTTATAATGTTGGGGGTGGGGGTCTCTCAACCCAATATGGTACTGATTAGGAGCAATGCCTGTTCTGACAGGTGTGGGTTCGAGTATAACACTTCACCCCCACCTGAAACGGCTTCTGTGCTCACTCGTGGTGAGAGAGGCTGTTGGATTTTCTCATTTCAAAGCTTGGTATTTCCTACATCCACCTCTCATTTTCACTTCCCCTCAGTTGATTGGAACGAACTAAGCCTATATTGTCAGAAACTTAGTTGTATTAAGTTTAAGAGACTCAACCCTGGGAAGAAAACGCAGGTCAAGAAGCAGTTGTGGAAGGAACTGCTTTGAATATGCACTTCACCTTCAGAGTTTTGAAAGAAATTAAATAATGAATATTTCTCTGTTTTGCTTTAAATGCTTCAAACATTGGTACCTTGCTTTTATCAGCTAAATTCTTGGGTGAAAACAAGTGGTCTTTATACTTATATTGAAAATAGATATTTTAAACAGGAGAAGAGCTTCAACAGCCTGTGGATAGAGAATGTGAGACAATCATAATACCCACAAATTGAACAGTGCTTTGCTCTTACAAAATGCTTCTGGTACTTGCTCTTAATTTTGGCCTGAATCATAAACATTACATATATTATAGGCAAGGAAACAGGCATTAGCAACAGTTCTGTAACATTGCTGGTAGTAAATAGCAAGCTGAGACCTGGCCAAGGGTTTGTTTCCACTGTACTTTGTTTCTTCACCTAGGATGAAACAGTCAAAATTCGCTTTCTTGCCGAAACCGGTTTGGCTCAGTGGATAGAGCGTCGGCCTGCGGACTCAAGGGTCCCAGGTTCGATTCCGGTCAAGGGCATGTACCTGGGTTGCCGGCACATCCCCAGTGGGAGATGTGCAGGAGGCAACTGATCGATGTTTCTCTCTCATCGATGTTTCTAACTCTCTATCTCTCTCCCTTCCTCTCTGTAAAAATTCAATAAAATATATTTTTTTAAAAAAATTCGCTTTCTTGTCCAGCTCCCTTTCCTGCCCACTGTCTAGGATCTGCTAATCACAGTTACTTGGTCGAAATCTGTTTTCAATTACAGAAGCATCTAGCATATCATCTTTTACCTTCACCCATTACAGGTATGGGTTGTCCACTGAGACAGATTATCACTTAAAGAGTTAGACATTTTGTTGCACTTGAAGAACCGTCTGGAGATATACACTGTGCTATTTTTAAATGAAAGGGGCCAGAATACAGAATATGTAGAACACGTGATGCTATTTAGGTCACACACAACTGCATTTCTGTATCACATGTAAGTAAATGCATAGGAAAGATACGTATCAGCAGATAACAATAATCCCCTGGGAGGAGACTGGGGTTTGGGTCACAGTGATCAAAGCACTTTTGATTGTATAACTTGATATAGTATATGAAATTTTTGCCATGAAAATGTGTTCTTATTGGCTAGGACTCTCTCAATTGCAATTGGAGAAAACATCCAAGCCACCCTAGTTTTAAGGGCAAACTGAAACACAGCTTCATGCAGAGCTCAACTAAAGACACCAGAACCCAGTTTTTCTCTGTGCAAATTCTGCCTACCCCCAGATTGGTTTCCCTCTCAGACAGACTCCCCAACATGTGTCAAGCTGGCAGAGCGCAGGTCCAAACTGTCTACTGGGAGAGAACTGGAGATTTTCTTAAAGCCTGAGCGAGGGCATCTCTATCTGTGGGGGGTCCATTCTTGAACAAGCCCTGTGGCCAAGGGAATTCATGCTGATTTGGCTGGAGTAAGCTCAACGCACTGATTTGCCTCCATATGGATAAGTCCAACCCAGACCACTGCCTCCTTCACAGGCCCTGCCTTAATAGTAAACAGCCCTGGAAGGGGAAAGGGTGTAAGTGCTCAGCAAAAATGCTCAGTACCAAGCCTCATGCAGAAATCAGTGTCATTTAAGTCCTGTTCGTCAGTGTTTATGCATTTCTGATTGCATTATGAAGAGTTTTCTAAACAAAAAGAAAGAACAAGAGCCCCCAATAACACTTTGGTAATATCCTGTAGCTTGGTGTTTGTTTGTTTGTTTTCTTTTTATTAAGGAATAGTTCAGGCATTTATCAGTACCTGGCCAGTTTGATCTGCCCACTTCCTCCTTCCCCACTAAATCCTTAAGCAATTCCCAGACTTCTCATTTCATTTCCAGATACTCAGTATGTATCTCTAAAAGATAGGGACTCTTTGTAACATAACCACAGTACCATTATCACACCCTTCTAAAAAAACTAATATGAAATCAAGCTGCTGAGTTCTTCCCATCAGTTCATAAGAATTTTTATGACATCATATTTCAAACAAGACCCACCCATTGCATTTGGTTGATATGTCTGCTAAGACTTAAATTCTAACAGTTTTTATCCATTTTGTTTTTCTTTACAATTTATTTTGTTGGAGGAACTGGGTCATTTGTCCTGAGGATTTCCCACATTTAGGGTTTTGCTGTCTCCGTCCCATGGTCTCATTTGGCATGTTTCTCTGCCTGTGCATTTCTTGCAAACCGGCATTAATAGTTAGACCTGATGAGGTGTAGGTTAGTGTGCAGGAGGAAGAAACTCCTTTCAGTGTTCTTCCCGCTGGTCTAATAGTGAAGTCTACGTGAGACAGGTAAGAAAGTAACCAAATTTTATTACATGTGTACATATGGGAACCCCATATATCAGAGAGTCAGACCCCACATACAGGAGAGGGACAGAGACAAAGTTAAAATGAGGGATATGTGACCTGAGCTAAGGATGCGGTAAGGCACCTGGGGCTACAGAGGGGAGGAGGGACATTGCAGGATGACCAGAGCAGATGTCCAGTAATTAGTAGCTGCCCTGCCCTATAGATAGGTCAAAAAAGCAACTTCTGGTGAAACTCTGATTATGGGCAAGGCCCCTAATTTAAATTCCCTAAGGGAGAGAGAAGCGTTGCCCTTGAGCCTGCGGGGTCTCGGTTGCCTTCAGCTTTGACAATCCACATACCACAGAGGCAGGTCTTTGGTGACTCATTCTGAACTACCATAGCAGCTTTTTTGTTATTTAGCAGGTGGTGCTGTGTTCTTGTTGCATCACATCTGGCATCGAATGAATAGTTGCTGATGTTTGCAATTTGCAAGTAGAGATGGACCAGTGGGTTTGTGTTTGTGTGTTGTTGTTCTGATTTATCCATTTTAAAGTTGCTCAGTAATTTTTAATCTAATGTTTTAGCAGCCATTGGTAATCTTTGCCCACATCCACTCGTTCATTAGTTTTAACATGGATGAATGTAAGCACGGGTCCCTATCACAAAGTTACTACAATCAGGACTGCAGTTGCCTCAGTTCTGTGGAATTTGTCAGTCACACAATCATGTTGTATTCTCTATAGGCAGATCCCCAGAAGTGGCTTGTTTATAACAAGAGGAGAGGAAAACCAATTGGCTGGTGATTGCCCAACCTCAAAGGAAATGCACTTCCATAAACTAATTTTACTATGGTTTCTGGTATAATTTAAGTGAGAACATAAGGAATCAAAATAGACCATAATAAAATTGTTGGTATAAGAGAAGTCTTTAGTAACTTGGAAATCAATACCCATAAAGGTATAAAGCCCACTTTGTATGGACTGATTAAACTTCAGTCCATCAAAAGAGTGTTTGTCACTTTGTAATTATCTTTTGGAATATTGAGGTCACATTGATTCCAAATATACACTTGTTTACATTTACCTGGTTGATCTTAGTTTGCTCCTCCAAAAGACTTCCTAGTACCTCCTAGTGCAGTGGTTCTCAACCTTGGCTGCACATTAGAATCACCTGGGAATCTTTAAAATCCTGATTTCTGGGCCTCATCCTCCGGAAATTCTGTTTCTTTGTTACTAATGTTGTGGCCCCACCTCATAACAAAGAAAGAATTTCCGGAGGATGAGGCCCAGAAATCAGGATTTTAAAAAGATTCCCAGGTGATTCTAATGTGCAGCCAAGGTTGAGAACCACTGTCCTAGTGGAACATTAGTAAAGACCATTTGTAAGATGCATAAAAGATTTGAGGGTTTGGTTTATTCTCCACAGGCTTGGAAACTCCTAATTTTCCTAATTTTATAATTCCTTATGTCACTCAGCAATTATTCCATGGACCAGACAGTGATGGCGAACCCATGACACGCGTGTCAGAGGTGACACACGAACTAATTTTTTTGGTTGATTTTTCTTTGTTAAATGGCATTTAAATATATAAAATAAATATCAAAAATATAAATCTTTGTTTTACTCTGGTTGCAAATATCAAAAAATTTCTATATGTGACACGGCACCAGAATTAAGGGTTTTTCAAAATGCTAACACGCCGAGCTCAAAAGGTTCGCCATCACTGGCCCAGCAGATAGAAGACTGTGTGTCTTGTGGTTTGGTCATAGGTGGTACAGGCGGAGGTAGAGGACTTACATAATGAGAACAAGGCTAACCACAGTGCCACTTAAAAACAAGACTAAAATTGCCCAGTAAATGAAAACCGTAACTGGGAGGGGATTATGTCAGGGTACAGCAAGTGTGGTCTTAAAAGGATCATCTTAGCAAAAATATCCCTAAGCTTTGCCAGTGTCCCGGGGGCCAGTTGTGTGGGACTTGAGCAAATCCTTGCATCTCTTGTAGGATTTGCATTTTTACTTTGCAAGAGGAATGAAAATGATGGAGTGCAGGGGAGATGCTAGTTTCAGCAGAGGGGCATTGAGGGGAGCTCATTTTATAAATAAGCACCCCATTAGTTAATTTTTTGTTGTGATTCCTCACATTACTCAGGCAATAAGGACACACGATCACTCCCACCCTGCCCCATAGCTGATAAAACTGCCAACTTTAAATGTGCTTGTTTTATAACAGTGAGGAAATATGTGCTTCAATTAGAAAAGCCCTTTGCAGATGAAATGTATGTGGTTATTCTCACTGCTCATGTGGCAGTTCTGAACTTGAGGAAAAGAAATGCAAGGACTCTGAAATACGATTTTGTGTTGTTTTGCCCTCTAGGAGGTTTCAGTCAAGAAGAACTTCTAAAAATATGGAAAGGACTCTTCTATTGCATGTGGGTGCAGGACGAACCCCTTCTGCAGGTAACATGAACTTCCCTTTGTCACATTACTGGATCTTTGGCCTAGAGCCGTGGTTGGCAAACTGCGGCTCTTTGGCCCCTTGAGTGTGGCTCTTCCACAAAATACCACGTGCGGGCGTGCACGTGCAGTGCGATTGAAACTTTGTGACCCATGCGCAGAAGTCGGTATTTTGTGGAAGAGCCACGCTCAAGGGGCCAAAGAGCCGCATGTGGCTCGAGAGCCGCAGTTTGCCGACCACTGGCCTAGAGGGATAAGAGAGACTTGTTGTATCAGTCCCCTAATGTGCCAAACAAACTGAGAAGCATTGCTTAAGGATTCCCTGGCACCTCTTGTCATATGGAAAAGGATGCACTGTCCAAGCGTTGAGGTTAATTACCTTTTCAGATAATAAAGAATTCACATAAATTAAAGGTTTGTCATTTCTCTGCCGGTTTCATAGTCCCATGGTAGGGTTTACCTTAAAGTTTTGTTTGTTTTCTCTTATTTGTGGTAAAAAATGTCATGGCACTAGTCTAAGAACCTGTGAGCAGCCCTGGCCCCATGCCGACCTCTGCCACAGTTTTAAGTGGTGCAGAGGACGGGGCAGCCGCCTCCAGGGTCAGGGTCTTCGTAGAGCCACTCGCGGCCCCTTCTGATGCCCACACTTACAGTCGGCGGAGACTTGTCACAGGTGTGTGTGTGCATGGGGACGCGTCTGCCGGGCACAGTGGGCACCCACCACAGCTGCCTAAAGAGTTCGGTTGTGATGTGTAAAGCAAAGTGAAGAGTAAGCCTTGAAATGCCCTTCAAAACCCTCTAACATCATGGGTGGATTTTACTTGTCTAGGTTTTTAAGGCACAACTCTGCCTTTTCCTCCAAGCCATGTAGTAACTCACTCTGATTATTGCTTTTACTAACCTGGACATATTTTGAGTAGGATAGCAAGGCAAAATATTTTTAAATTACATTCAAAAGTAACAGCTAGCAGCTTTAGTGGAGGAAGGAAATGGAATAAGAAATTCGCTTTCGGGAAATTCATTAGAAATGGGTGAGGGACACCTGAGGCCGGGGGAAGTGCAGATAATATTTATGAGAATCTATCTTTTACGTAACTCATAAAAATTCTTTTGTTGACAGTCCCCTTAGACCCAAACCACCAAATTCTCTACAAGCAAGCTTGCTGCCTCTGAGTAGGACTTGTGTTTCCAAAGGCACTTTTGCAAAGGTCAGAGCCTAAGGTGCTATTCTCCACCCTGCCGCTGCCGCCTGTCTGAGCCAGCCAGGGAGAGGGGATTCTAATTCCACTCACTGAGTTTCCTAGAGTGAGAGACCTGGGGCGTCTGTGTTTCCATTACTGGGGGATTAGGATAGACATCTCAATTTAAGTTTTAATGTATCTTTTAAGCCAGGAATTGACAGCTAACTTATTTCTTCTGTAGGTCATTTGAACAGATAACTAGAGATACCTTTTTAAGCAGACAGCTTAAACAAATCTCAGAGGCATATGAAATTGGCACAGTAGTCCATTGAAATTGGAGATTTTGCATAGATACCCACATGCACACTTCTTAGTGGAAGTGACATTGAAAACAGAGGTACAGATTCTCACTCACCCACCTACCCAAGCAGATATGGGCCGTGGTGCTGTCATCTCACAATGTTGCCACATAATAACCCCAGTGTTTCTCCCCAACCCGCCTTTGCAGGAGGAGCTAGCGAACACGATTTCCCAGCTCATCCATGCTGTTAACAACTCCGAGGCTCGTAAGTCCTGATGTTTTCATGCCTCTCAAAACGTCCTTGCTTTTCCCATTTGGTAACTTGCCTATGCTATCTAATCCATATTGTTCCTTCTCCTTCCTTCCAAGCTTCCGTTTCCCGGTGGTCTAATTTAATGTGAACCTGGGGTATCAGTGTGTAGATGTCAGGCGACAAACTCCTCCCATGGGAAGAAACTATGATAAACTTAGATACTGACTCTGAAAGAGGGTGAAGGAGTACCTTGTAGAATATCATATTGGATATCTCAAAGATTTCAAAAAAAAAATACCTTAAATAATCCTCCAGAATCTCCAAATTCTGAGTTACTTTAACACTCCTAGAAGCTATCCGTGCATATGTCAGTGTGTGCAGTACCCTCTGGATGTCAGGTTTATCCCCAAAACTAGAGCCATTAAGGTTGTCACTGGTAATAAACTGTAAAGTAACCCCCCTTTACCAAAAAGGATAAACAGGGGAGAGACATTACTTCTGGGACACTCAGGCTCTGATTACTTCCAGGGGACAAATGAGACTGCAGAATGATTTTTTCCTGCTCACCCTTCCTGTGAACAAAGCCATCCAATAGCCTTCATAGCCCTCAGAGGTTGTCTGAACTTGAGCAGAGCCCCAACTGACATGTAATGAACAAAATTCTACACATGGAATATGGTATAGGTCTTCATATATCAAGAAAGATTTGTGCAAAAAGAAGTGAATAAAAAAATTTTTTTGACAAAATGCTAGTTTTGTGGCTCAGAAGAGAAAAATAGAATGTTTTGTTATAGCTCATCCAGCTGACACTGAGCATGAAACAGAAAGCTGAGTTTCTACAAGAGTCATTCAAGTGTCCATCAAAATTACTGGCTTTGGATTCTTAGGTGTAGGTGGGTTGAAAAGACCAGTAGACGTGGCTCAGAAAATCTTTTGATTTAGAAACTTGGCTTTTAGGAGATAAAGAAAAATGCTCCAGAGAGCATTCTAGTTAAGCATTAAGATATTACCAGGTTTCCTGTTACTATAATGTGCTTTTGCTTAAATGTAAAAGAAATTATTAAGCATATTTAATGATTGACCAAATTTTCTAGCAGCCCAAGAATTCTTGAGAAAAGTAAAACATGAATAATCCTAGTTTGTTTCTTTTCATTACTTTTGTGCTTTATGGTAATGTGTTAACCTGAAACCACACATTCAGAGCCTTCTGTTCACTGCAGAGCACCTGTTCATTCAGACCTTTTGGCAAACCATTAACCGAGAGTGGAAAGGGATCGACAGGCTGCGCCTGGACAAGTACTACATGGTGAGATCAGCAGGCCTTCATCCCAGTTACTGCAAAGGCTCATGAGAGGGAGGGAACATTCAGCATCTTAAAAACAGTGGGAAGGTTTGATTGTGAAGCAGAGTTAGTTCTAGCCTTGCTGAGATGACAGGCGATGTGAACATGAGACAGCCTTTGAACCTGTACTCAGAGACCTCTCTCTTGTCCCTTTCAGATGTTAGGGACCAGTTTGGGGACCTTTAGTTAGCATTTTATGATCTAAAGTTAAACGTGATTATTGTGGATATTTTCTCATTTGGGGATCCAGGCTACACCCGTGTCATTGCCTCATTCTACAAAGCTGATCAATCCTCCTTCCTTTTGTAACACAAGTTGTCTGTCTTTAGCTGATCCGTCTGGTCCTGAGGGAGTCCTTTGAAGTCCTGAAGCAGAATGGCTGGGAGGAAAGGTTGGTAAACTATTGGGGTTAGCATTTGGTGGCCTGAAAACTTTTAAGGTAATAGTTTGTTTTTCAAGCCTTTCAGTTAATCACCAAGTATGAATTGCCACATCTGTGCTATGAGAGGCAAAACCCCCTTTCGCATAAAGAACTTAAAACCCAGCGGAGGAATATGAAAGAGTTGAGTACATAAGACAGTCAGCTTTTTATACTGATTTCTGTAGTTACTTTTTTCCTTGTAAAACTTTCTCAGTCTCGCATGGCTTGTGGTGCAGTGTAGCATGAGACTAAATGTTACATATGGGGGGGGGGGGGGGGCGGTTGCACACTATAGTTAATAGACCCATATGTGTTGTTTTCTTCAGCCAAATCAAGCTTTTCCTCGATGTCTTGATGAAGGAAGTCCTGCACCCTGAGAGTCAGTCTCCAAATGGGGTGAAATTCCACTTCATTGATATTTATCTGGACGAACTATCCAAAGTCGGAGGGAAAGAGGTAAGAAACAATCCGACGTCTGCCAGTGATGTGATGAGACCACAGCTAACCTGAACAGGGCTTTGCTCTTCAGATCCTCCTGTGAGCTGGAATGCAATGCTGTTGGTGGCCCTCTGCGCTGCCAGTGACAGAACGTGAATCAGTTCAACCTGGCTTTTGACACATTCCTTCCCCATCTAAGAATGTGTCCTAAGCAACTAATGAGACATGTGGGCATGATGCATGCACTAAGGATGTGCATGGAATCTAACTTAGGAAACGTTGGAAAGCACCTACATGGTCCAATAAAGAATTTGAGAACATGAGGAAATGCTCAGAATACTGAGTTTTTAAAAAGCAGTAGGAAAGAAAGGCAGTAGACCAAGCTGTGCAAAGGGGTCGGACTTGTGTGAGTGTGCATTCATCCAGGAATAGGCAAAGGACTAGAGGGGAAACATTCTTTAGCGTGTCAGTGACTATCTGAATTAAAAATTGTGAGCAATTTTTACTTTTTCTTTCACAAGTGTTCTGAAGTGGACAAGTATTTTTTTTAAATTAAAGAAAGTAGCCGAAACCGGTTTGGCTCAGTGGATAGAGCGTCGGTCTGCGGACTCAAGGGTCCCGGGTTCGATTCCGGTCAAGGGCATATACCTGGGTTGCGGGCACATCCCCAGTGGGGGGTGTGCAGGAGGCAGCTGATCGATGTTTCTCTCTCATCGATGTTTCTAACTCTCTATCTCTCTCCCTTCCTCTCTGTAAAAAAAATCAATAAAATATTTTAAAAATAAAAAATAAATTAAAGAAAGTATAAATGTTGTATTAAAAAAATACTCCCTCATCTCATTCTCTGACCGTCCATACAGAGCTGCTCCACAGAGGAGGGAGTGTGGAGCGGCGCTGGAGGGTCACTGTGCTAAGATGCCCAAGCGGCTGGAGGGCAGCTGTGGCTTTGGCCTGGCTCTGGGCACCTGGGTGATTCATGCACAGTGCGTTTGGCATTGTGAGATAAGTGTCGCTCAGTCTGATTCAATCTGTGTGAAAAAAACAAGTGATACCTTTTTCAAGGACTTGTCAGAAAGGAGAAAAGGCTCTTTTTTCCCTTATTTTTATTTTTTTTTCCTATTTGATTTCTAAATTACAGCTTTTAGCAGATCAGAATCTCAAGTTTATTGATCCATTCTGCAAAATTGCTGCCAAGACTAAGGAGTAAGTGATTCACATGTTTGTTCTTGTTGCTTCAATTAGTGTTTAATTGGGGGAGGTGGGTTGTTTTGTGTTGTTTAGCATGATACAAGGTACCTGGGATGGTTGTCCAAAGCTAATAACAGCCAAATGCTTAATTCCCATTGGCAAGACGTTTGAAGCTTTGAGTCATAATTCGGCTTTGCTGTTTGATCCCAGTCATTCCAAGAATCACACACTCCCCCACCCAGAGTTCAGCAGTTGATGGTCCCACTGCTTCTGGCACAGAGCCCTGGACTGGCTCCTTACGGCCACCACTGCTTAGCACAGAAGTGTAGTTAGGAATACGTGTGCTTGCTGAGCAGCTGGGTGGTCACAGCGGGTCCTGGGTAGGCTGGGATGGGAGGTGCAGTGACCCCTACTTCTCATCCCTCTGTTCTGTTCAGAGAGTGAGTTCCAGACCATTGGTTTTAATCACATCCTCTTTGCTGTGCTTCCCCCTCAGCCATACACTGGTGCAGACTATAGCTAGGGGTGTTTTTGAAGTCATTGTAGATCAGTCTCCTTTTGTACCTGAAGAGACGGTGGAAGAACAGAAAACTACAGTGGGTGACAGCAACCTCCCTGAAGAAGAGAGAGCTGAAAATGAGGTGACATGGAGAAAAACATTCAGTAAAAAGAAGACAGGTAAGAGAGTGTCCGTAAGCATTCTTTAATACACTTGTTGGGATCTCAATGACTACAGCCTAGAATTTATCAAAGATGGCTTTGGCTTGAACACCTGAGAAAGGAAGCAGACGCATATTCCCAACCCCTGTTTTGTTCAGGGGTCCTCTGGGGAAGACCCAGTGCCACCCACCCGATTCTTATCTCCCAGGATGGCGGGACATTCCCCAAGGGTTTATCATTGTTGGTGTTGCATTGGGTTTTGTTTGTTTTTGTTGTTTTGGCTTTTCAGTTGTATTTCAGCATCCTAATGTGGACTGGGATCTATAGAGGGTCCTCGACAGGAGGCCTGAAGTGCATGTGCGTTGTGAGTGCACACTTGTTTCTGTAGCCTTCGGATCTCGGAGTTCCTTCAGGGTTCTTTTTCTTGGGAGTTTAAATGCCCACTGTGGGCTGACGCTGTTCTCACCACTGTTTTATATCCGTGCAGTCATGTAGAGAATATGCATTAAAGTTGTGGCCCATCAGAACTCGGTGGTGCACGGCTGTAGTGCATGGTGAGGGCATCCCTGAAGCCATTTTGAAATGCAGAGTTTTCTAAACCAGTGACCAGACGAAATTTAATCATGTTTTTGAAAGCAGGACATAAAACTATGTGGGAGGAGCCTGATTCGTTTTACATTTACATGTGCCTTACATTATCAGGGAGGATATATATCAAAATGTTAATATTAGTAGCCCCATGTGGCAGAATTGTAAGTGACTTCTGTTTTATACTTTTGTCTGATTTTCTACATTTATCATGTATTATTTTTTTAACAAAAAACAAGGAAAAGAAGAAACATTTTAGTTTTAAATTCCACATAGGTGGTGGGTTAATTTAAAAGCCTGAATAAATTCTATGTGGCCATGGCAGCTGCCTCTGGGTCCCCCTGCTCCCCACGTTTCTATCTAAACTAGAGACGTCTCTCTCCAGGAGCACCAGCACCTGCTCTGTCTTCTCTGGCTGTGCCCTGAGGTCACACCACTAATGAGCTCCTAGGAATCCAGAAACAGTTCAAGTTTGAAAAGTGGAGTTTTCATTAGCAATTTTTATCTGCTTTCTCATTGGCTTTAGTGCTTTTTGAATTATTAAATATTAAAATTTGCATTTATATATTAACTTGTGCCTCCTATGAAGTTAGTATACTACTATACAGATTTTTTTTTACTACAGCCCAAACCTGTCTGAAATTAGGGACAGACAGGCTCCTGAATCCACACTCCTTCCACAGCCAGAGAGTCATCCACACTCCTTCCACAGCCAGAGAGTCACATGGTGTCTGAACCCCTGACCAGCAGCTTCCCGTCCCCTGCGCTGTCTGGAGGGGGCGACCATGTGTGCTGAACAGTATTGAAGGCCAGGGAGGCTTGTCTGTAATCGATTTAAGAGACAGAATTAATGATTGCTCCTGGGTATTTTTTCATGTCCGGGGGCTGAAAACCCAAAACATCTTTGGGAAATTATACTAGTAAATGTATTGCAGGGTTTTTCTCTTTAAGGAAATTTTCTTTTTCAGTAAGAGACACCTAATTAGACAGTGGCTCCTTCGGGAGTAGTCATTGCTGTGTAATTGAAGAATTTTGTCTTTGGCTGTGTTTTAGCACTGGGCAAATATCACTCCAGAAAGGAAGGAATCAGTGATGAAGGTGAGACAGACGGTGGTGGAAGCATGGAAGACACTGGGCCACTTCTCCAGGTTGGTGGCAGTTGTTGCTTTTTTTAGAAGATAGATTTACTGTGGAATGGCCTGGCTAATTGGGAATTAGGGTCAGAGCTAATTAAACTCTAAAGCCTAATGTGTGAAGTCCTTTCCATCCCTTCAGTCACTAATGTCACCTTCCTTATAATGAGCTTATTGCAGACAAATCCAAATATGATGGAATTTTGCTAAGATATATTCCATACAGCAAAGTCAGCTCAGCGATACTTCTTATTTTTATTTTTGGTTAATCCTCACCCAAGAATATTTTTCCATTGATTTTTAGAGAGAGTGAAATGGAAGGGGAGAGACAGAGAGGTACATGGTACATGCCCTTGACTGGACTCCAATCTGGGACCCTTCAGTCTGCAAGTCAACACTCTAGCCACTGAGCCAAACTGGTTAGAGCTTAGTAATACTTTTTAAATAAAGGTTACTATGTTACCAAGTGCAAATTGGACATCTTTGTAAATTACATTACAAAGAAGCACACCCAAGTGAATTGTATGTGGTATATTTTACCACAGAGATCTTGCTTAAGTCTTTGGTTGCCCAGTCTCAGCACGTGCTTGTTCTGACGGCCCCTGTGAGTGCTTCCAGAGTCCCAGCTGGGGGTGCTCTGACCCTAGGACAGTGACGGCGAACGTTTTGAGCTCGGCGTGTCAGCATTTTGAAAAACCCTAACTTAACTCTGGTGCCGTGTCACATATAGAAATTTTTTGATATTTGCAACCATAGTAAAACAAAGACTTATATTTTTTATATTTATTTTATATATTTAAATGCCATTTAACAAAGAAAAATCAACCAAAAAAATGAGTTTGTGTGTCATAGGTTCGCCACCACTGCCCTAGGAGGTGCATTTCCAGGTTACTGCAGGTTTATGTTCTTTTTTCTTCTCACGTAGTTTGACTATAAGGCTGTTGCGGACAGACTCCTGGAAATAACCAACAGGAAAAACATCCCTCCCTTCAACAGGAAACGTCTCTGCAAGCTAATCAAGAAGTAAGTGATTGCTTGGGAAGGTGTCCCTTGATTCTCATTCATGTTCAAGTCCAGCCCTTCCATTTATCTCATGGTATAGGACATGCTGTTACCATGCTTACATTTTTTATTTTTAGCATATATATGCACTTATAAACTGCAATGTTTAATGATGACAGTCACCTGCCTACCACTCCACCCCACCTCCATGTCCCATTCTGCAAATGCAGCCACACTCAGCTGTTTCATAATGATGTAAAAAGAAGTCTGCCCTGACTTGTTAGAGCGTTGGCTCATGCACTGAAGGTTTCAATTCCCTGTCAAGGGCATGTTCCTGGGTTGCAGGTTTGATCCTGGCGTGACTGGGGCTGTGTGCTGGAGACAACCAATCCATGTGTGTCTCTCTCATATCTATCTTTCTCTAGCTCACTCTCCCTCTCTCCCTCCCTCTCCCCCTTCCTTCCACTCTCTCTAAAAAAAATCAATGGGGAAAATACCCTGGGTGTGTATTAAAAAATAATTATAAAAATAAATCTATTGCCCTGCGGTTTGGCTCAGTGGATAGAGCGTCGGCCTGCGGACTCAAGGGTCCCAGGTTCGATTCCGGTCAAGGGCATGTACCTTGGTTGCGGGCACATCCCCAGTAGGGGGTGTGCAGGAGGCAGCTGATCAATGTTTCTCTCTCATCGATGTTTCTAACTCTCTATCCCTCTCCCTTCCTCTCTGTAAAAAATCAATAAAATATATTTTAAAAATAAATAAATAAATAAATCTATTGATAATATCTAAAATTAGGTTGAGAAATTGCAATGTGAGCCCTAACCAGTTTGGCTCAGTGGATAGAGCGTCGGCCTGTGGACTCAAGGGTCCCAGGTTCGATTCTGGTCAAGGGCATGTACCTTGGTTGCGGGCACATCCCCAGTAGGGGGTGTGCAGGAGGCAGCTGATCAATGTTTCTCTCTCATCGATGTTTCTAACTCTCTATCCCTCTCCCTTCCTCTCTGTAAAAAATCAATAAAATATATTTTAAAAATAAATAAATAAATAAATCTATTGATAATATCTAAAATTAGGTTGAGAAATTGCAATGTGAGCCCTAACCAGTTTGGCTCAGTGGATAGAGCGTCGGCCTGTGGACTCAAGGGTCCCAGGTTCGATTCCGGTCGGGGGCGTGTGCCTTGGTTGCGGGCACATCCCCAGTGGGGAGTGTGCAGGAGGCAGCTGATCGATGTTTCTCTCTCATCGATGTTTCTAACTCTAACCCCCTCCCTTCCTCTCTGTAAAAAATCAATAAAATATGTTTAAAAATTTTTAAAAGAAATTGCAATGTGAGTGTACTGCTGAGGTGTTACCTGTTGGTGCGATACTGAGCTGGGTAAGAGTGTAGCTTTTTACCCCTTCCCCCACCCCTGATGTGGTTATGCTGTAATCGTCGTTGATATGGTTATGACTGTACCAGTATTCACTGCAGAGCCCTGTGTCCTATTATGATTGATGATATACAATATCTGAGTTTGATCACACTCCATGTAAACAGGCACTGTTCTGAGCACTTAAATTACTTCATGTTATGTGGTAAAGCCTCATAAGCTGCCTTCTGTAATTCCCTCCTCTGACACATGGTTGACTCGGGCACAGGGAAGTCTCCGCCGGCCCAAGGTTGTAGCTGCCAGGCACAGAGCTAGATTCAGACCTCCTGCCACTCCCCCACTCTGCCCACTTCCTTTGTATTCTAATGCACCAAATCTTATAGACTAAGCCCTACTCATTTCTCCACGTGGTAAACGGGGGAGCTGAGTAGAGGCAGAGAATCTAAGCTGTGTCAGCCTTTGGAGACTAAGAAACAAAGTTAACTGAGGGTGACCTTGTCCTTCATTTTTGGCCTTCGCATCACACTGCCTTTTCCCCCTCCCCTTCTAGAGGAAAAAGAATGTGAATTCTAAATATCACGTGTTTCTTAAAGTTTGTGCATATGTTTATAGAAGACAGAAAGAGGGGATTTCTTTATGAACTTTTGTTGTTTTCCTTTTCAGATTCCAAGATCTCTCTGAAGGTGAGGAAGGCAGAGCATTAGAACTGATGTTCTTACCTAAATGTGGACCTCACTGAGCACATTTAGGCCAAATAGTAAAAAAGCAAGATTGAAAGCATAAGAAAGAGTAGTAGCCTTTATCTTTGAAAGATCGTCAGTTACACCACTTGCTACTCAGCTGAGAGAAGCCCGAAGAACCACCGTGTGGGGCTTTTTCTTTTTTTATCTCACCACCCACTCTCCCATCCCAGGAACCACGCTGAGCCAGACACGAGGCTGTATCTGTGGGGAGAGGGGGGCATTTGAACAAGAAGGGTTTTTATTGGTCCATGTAGTTTTCAGTTTGACCTTTTTTAAGAACAGTCGATTTCTCAGGGTCCCTTTTGTGACTGTAAGATCCGCTGTCCCCTGGGGGAACTGCTGTCTATAAACATGGTGACATCTGAGCAAATCAATGGCTCACTGCCCCCATCCCTTGGGCCCTGAGGTGCTTAGAACTAGGGTGCCCAGACCTGGTTGGCATATCTGGAGATGATGTCGCCCAAGATTTACAGTCCCTTGCCTTGAGTGAGAAAGCCACAAAGTTGAGAGCCTAAAGTCCCTGTGTTAGCAGCTTTGAGGTTTGGATGGAGAAGTAGTGAGGAACAGTGACCAGGAGGCAAATGAGGTGGGGAGGAGGCATGCTCTCAGGCCCCTGGGGACAGCTGTGAGGGCCTCAGAAAACTGACTACGTGTGACTTTGGTGTCCAGCAGGCAGTATGTCTCAACTCGGTTTTGCTGAGGACATTTCTGCTGATGAAGATGACCAAACCCTCAGTCAAGGAAGGCATAAGAAAAAAGGAAATAAGCTTTTAGAGAAAACCGACATGGACAAAGGTGAAGGTGAGGCATAAGGCTTGGGGCCAGCAAGGCCTGAGAAGGAGGGGTGGGCTGCCCTCAGCGACCTTGGGCCCCTCTGCGGTCCTGAGAACCTCTGAGCCACTGTCTTGATAAATTGTTACAGAGCAAACGCTTTTGCTCTTATGGCTGAAAAGTAAAGATTGTTTCTGAGTATTTGATTTTTCTGGGACACCCGCATTCCCACTTCCGGTAGCATCTGAGAAGGAGATACACACTGCCCTGTGACTCGTTTGTCTTATTACCACCTGGATCTGTGGCTTTACCTTTGGCCTGAAAATTAGTAGAAATCTGAATATATTTCAGCTCCATTTATATTGAAAAGGCATTAGCAAGGTTTCTAATCACAGCTGGGAAAGGGAGGAAATGGGACAAAGCAGAGAGCTCAGGGAGCTCACATGCTGTGCGCTGAGGATCAGAGCCTTTCTGGCTGTAAGACAGCCCCACAGGCGTTCTGTCAGCCACTCACTCTGCCCCAGAACCCCCTGCGAGACCTGCTGTCTGCTTGGCATGGGGGCACCTGCTTATTGGTTTATGTGTCTTTCTAGGAAACAGGTTCTTTCTTGCTGAGGAAGAGGAGAGTAAAGCTGGTGTTCACAAGAGGAAAAGGAAAAAGAAGAAGAACCACCTTCAACCTGAACACTTAGGGTCAGGGGTCAAAGCCATTCCCCCAGAACAGAATGGGGACCCAGAACAGAACGGGGACCATGAGCCAGAGGCAGGTCCAGGAAAAGCCCAGAAGCTGGGTGGGATTGCGCTAGGGGCAGGGGTTTTGCCCAGCCCCCAGGGGCAGAGCAGCTCGGAGCACCCCCTCGTGCATCCTCCCACGCACAGCAGGAGGAAACGACCAAGGAAGAGGAGCCCGCGGTGCCAGTTGCTGGTCGCCGAGTCCACAGTGTCACCTCTGGAGGACTTGTGTCAAGGTGGCCCCGACAGTGGTTATGCTGTGGTGCCTGTCCCCCAGGCTTCCCCAGTCAGTGGAGCCCCAGCCCTGAAGAGGAAGCGGAAACTCAGGGCTCCCCTGGCCAACGGCAGCCCGCCCACGCTGGCCTGGCCCCCGCCCCAGGAGGAAGGCCCTGCGGCCAGCCCAGCAGACGGAGGGGATTGCCCAGCCACACTGCCCCCAGGTGGGAGACTGAAGAAAAAGAAGGGGGAGCCCAGCCGTCTTGACCTCTACAACCCGTCCACTCAAAAAACTGCCATCTTCAAAAAGAGGAAGAAAATGAGAGAGATGCTGAACTTGGTTGAACACAGCAGAGGACTGGAATCCGAACTGAAGCTCGTCCAGGCTCTGGTAAGACAACTGGGTTCCAGGCAGGGTGGCCACGGCTTCCTGCTGAAAGAAAGATCAGGGGCCCTGCCTCGGGCTTCCATTTGCGGTGGAGGGAGGAGGGGGAGACAGGTCAGGCCTCCGAACTAAGCAGCTGTCATGGTTCATAGTTCCCTTTACCAGCAGTAAAGAAACGTGACCGGTTTCCATGTCTGAGACAGTCGCCACCCTCCTCCTCCCCCACTCATTCCACCCCCTCCCCTGCCCCCACCACACTGCTCACTCTGAGGGGCTGCAGAAGGGCCACATCAAGCTGGGAGAATGGTCCGAGGCCCAGGCAGACAGGCCGCCCTTCAGTGTAAACAGGCAGACAAGTTCCTCCATCAAATGCTGGCCTTATTTTTCTTTCAACTCAGGACCAATCCCGTGCCCATGCTTTCTTTGTAATGGAAAGACTATCTTTCCACTTGGCTCTCTAGACCCATATATGAATGGAAACCGGGCTCTGGTTCCACTGTTCACACCCTCACTCCGACATACCGTGCATTCAGCGGTCGGCAAACGTAACTTCATTGGCGCACAGCCACGCCTGATCGTGCACACTCCCCGCTGCTTTCACTCCTCAGCTGCAGAGAGGAGTCGTTGTGGCAGACACCTTGTGGCCCTCAAAGCCAAAAACATTTACCCCCGGCCCTTCACAAACAGGCTTGCTGATCCCTGTTCAGTACTTGTGTTTGCACTCGCTACTGGGCAGCAGTGTGAATGTTAGGGGAGTTTCTGGTCAGTAAGAAGCCTTAGCTGGGGAAAGCAGAACATTCACCTGGACTTCGCTCTAATCCTAGACCTTCCCCTGACGAGCTGTGTCACCTTCCCTTCACTCTGCAGCCTCCTCCCTGCACTCACTATTCATTTGATGCTCTTTCTTCACTAAGAATATCAGAAAATTACTTCTTCGCATCATTTTCACGGGCCTGCACCCTCTCTTCGAGAGGATTAGAACTGTTGCTAAATAAACCACAGGGTTATTAGGGGTTTTCCTCCAAAAAGGGCAATGTGTCTCTACATCTCTGCCAGCAGGAGTGGGAAGGCGCATGGGAGAGGACTCCTGGGTCTGCCCCTCATGGGTGCTCAGGGAAGGCAGACAGCTTCCAAGCCAGGACCAAGGACTTGCCAAAACCACCCGTGTGACATTGGCCACATTGGGTTTCCCAGACCCCTGCAGTCCCAGAACTAGTGTCCAGTCTTTGCTGTGGGTGGTGGGCAGCTGTAAAGCACCCAGTGAATGTTCTTCATCTGCCTTAAGTGGACCTACAGTAAGCTAAGGTTCGTTTATGGAAGAAGAAAAATACGTTTTATAAATCTAGTGTTGCCTGAATGCACTGTGTTACAAAGTCTCCAGTGTGTGCAGTAATGCCCTGGCCTCCACATCACCACCGTTCCCTCACTGACTGGCCCAGAGCACCTTCCAGGCCGGCTAGCTCCGTTCATGGACAGGGCCCTCTGTACAGAGCCCTGTATCGTTTACACTGTACCTTTTCTGTGTTTAGATACACAAGTGCTTACCTCTGCTACAGTTGCCTGTAGTATTTAGTGTAGTTACATGCTGCACAGGCTTGTAGCCCAGGAGCAAAGGCTACGCCGCAGAAAGACAGAAATCTTCGAAACATGAGCCTTGAGTTTGAAGAAAAATAAAAATAGTTCTTGTTGCTGAAAAGATAGGAAACTTCTGTATAAGTTTTTCTCTCTCCTGGGCCGCGACCAGCACGGCTAGAGAGCGGACAAGTCCTGAGTAGGGGCGGCGGGGGATTGAGAAAAGGAAAGAGACAGACACAGAGATAGTAGGGAAAGCTGGGACCAGGTGGGACGCTGCCCTCTGATGGAGGGACAGTAACCCAGAGCTGGTGCAGCGAGTTTATTATATACAGCATGATTCCAGGAAGTTTTACTAGAGTTTAAGACAAAGGAAATTATGTGAAATCATGGTTAAGGATCAAGCTGCAATTCTTCATTCTTGTGGCTTCTTTGTAATTGTCACTCCTGTCTGAGCCCAGATAATTGCATCTGTTCCTGGCACCTGGCTAAACTTAGATAATGAAACCCACCCCCTGGCGTCTGAGCTAAAGGTCAGGCCAACAACATACCTGCCTCTGGCACGGTATGTTTCTAGGACGTGGCTCTGCCAACACCACTGGACTCAGCCAACAGTCAGCTCATGCGCCTTCCCAGGCGCGCTCTACACTTCCGGGCCCGGCCAGTGTGGCTTAGTTGGTTGAGCATCAACCCATGTACCAAAAGGTCACTTGTTCGATTCCCGGTCAGGGAACATGCCCAGGTTGCAGGCTTGATCACTGGTAGGGGGTGTGTGGGAGGCAACTGATTTATGTTTCTCTTGGTGTTTCCATCTATCCCTCTCCCTTCCTCTCTCTCTAAAAAATCATTTAAAAAAACTTTTTTTTGAAAAGGTGGGAAACCTCTGGCCCTACCATGGTGAAGTGGCAATTCTGTTCATGAAGTGTGTGTTCTGCTGAGCCAGAAAAGGTGTTTGCAAGTCTGGTTCCGGAAATGGTGGGGGTTGGGGCATCGGAACTGGTAAATAGGTCTCATTGAGATCCCCTTCAACCTGTGGCCTCGCTCCCCATGGTGTCTGCACCCGTCCTACTTTCACTTCCTGTGTGTAGGTGTGGCGCAGGTGGCCCTGGGCGTGACCTCCCCTCTCTTCTCATCCCTCACACAGGGGAGCAGTGGAGCTTTCAGCCCTTTGAAGAAGAAGAAGCTGAGGACGGAGAATGACTTTGTGAAGTTTGACACCCCCTTCTTACCAAAGCCCCTGTTCTTCAGAAAAGCTAAAAGCAGCACCGCCACCCCTGTGGCCCCTGCTATGCAAGTAAGCGCACGGTGACCAAACCAGAGGGGCTGTGCTCAGCAGACGCTTGGCCTCTGCTCCTGTCCACGGTGCACAGGCTCCTGTTCCAGGAGCCCAGGTCTGCTGTGCGGGCTGTGCTGGGACTTCTGGGGCCGACCCTCGGGATTGATCAGAGGTGCCTCCTCTTAGAACTCATGGGAATAGGGGAGATCTAGAGAGACCAGTAGTGAAGGGGGCCCCCGAGGGCCCTGGATTTACAGATCAGATGGAGGAAGACCAGAGGGGCCTGCCAAGGACACTGGCAGGTGCTCAGACTAGAAGAAGGAACGAGTGCTGTCCCCAGTCGGGTGAGGTGAGCACTGTCCTGGGAAACCAGGTGGGAGGCCATGAAGGATGGGTCGCCTCTGCCAAGATGCAGACCAGTGTCTGCGGGAGGCTCATCTGGGGTTGCGTCCAGGATATGGAGGTCTTGGTGGAGCTGTGGAGACAGGGGCCTGGGCTGGCCCTGCTGGGGAGACCCACAGTAGGTGGACTTTTTGAGAAAGCAGTAGGTGCTGTATAAATAGCCTCCAGCCGGCAGAGGGACCACTGCCTATGTGAGTGTTTATGCCTAAGACACTTTCAGGATATTTGTAAATGACTCTGGGCTTATAGAAGCCAGGTTCCTCTGATGAAATGATAATGTTAAAGCAAAACGGTCTGAGGTAGAACTGGGGATTCACACAAAAATACGGGGTTCTAGGAAGAAATTTGAGAAAATGCTCCAAATCAGTTTGGAGTTCTGTGCACAAAAGGCCGGGGATGTGGGTACATTGCTCACCAGAGTTCAGTCCCATTGTAGATACAATCTAAGCAATTTTGCTTCCAAGTTAAGGCTTAAATTCTAGGATGCAGTGAGTGGGAACTCCTTATAATTTTTCAGTGTTGAACTTTTTCTATAACTTGGAGGTTTCAGACATGGTAATTTTGCTCTGCTTTCTTCCCCGGAAGGCAGAGGTGGAGTCGGCAGTGAGGCAGTTTACTGCAGAGGGGTGCTGGCACTGCCCACCTCCCAGGTCTATGAAGTGTGCCTGCCAAAGTGCTTCATGCAAGCCAGACCTGGGGCGTGTGCAGCGTGGTCCTGATGAGGCCACGGAGGCGGACACAGGCCCTGGGGCCTCCAGGCTGAGCGCTCCCGTGAGTGCTCAGGGACGCAGACACACAGGGCGCCTCAGCTCCTTGTGCTCCTCTCACTCCCATTATGCTTTTCTTCTGCAGCTCAACAAAGCACCGTCCAGCTCCAAGAAGGTCACCTTCGGGTTGAACAGAAACATGACTGCGGGTGAGTGTGGGGTTTGCTTGCAGTCACCGTCTGCTCCTGGGGAGGAGGGCCCTGACCCCTCCCGAGGCAGAGTTGGTCCCCATCTCCCCAGCGGGGCGGCCAGGGGAGGTGGGGGTTGGGGGTCAGGTTTTCTGGGGTCTCTGGAAGGAGCTGACCTGGTAGGAGGTGATGTGGATGGGTGGATGGCCTACCTGCCTAGAATATGTTAGTCGTCTTGGCCTGAGATTTAATCGTCTGTAAGCTGTAGCCGCCTCTACCTAAATTCAGAACCACCCTACCCAAGAGGCGGGGAAAAGTGGGACATCTCGTCTTTCAGCTTTTGACATGGGTGTGATTCATTTGTGTTGGTTTTTTCCCAAAGGAAACCAATGTTTTTTAAAGTATATGAGTGTAAAACCTGACTCTCTTTAGGCACAAGTATCTATGCGCGTGCGCATCTGTATGTATGTACGTACAAATGCACGCACACGCGCACAGGGGAGCAGCTATCAGGAGAGCCCTGGGCAGCCCCGTCTCCCTCCATCTCTCCAGGTTGAGTCTGTGGATGGGGAGGTAGTGTGGGAGGAATAAATGCCAGAAAGAGGGCTCCTCCTGGGGCTCTTTATTGAACCCAAGTATCACAAGGGGGCCCTCAGGGCATTTTCATTTGGGGAGTAAATTCATTCTTGCTGGTGACTTTCATTTCCTCAGAAAGCCCTGGGGGCCAGTTCTCTGCGGGGCTGCCCTGCACTGAGCGCCCTGGCTCCATCAGGGCCTCCTGGGCAGCACGGAGGCAGGACACGGGGTGGGTTGGCAGGACAGAGAAATCATACCCATTAACGTGTGGCTCACTTTCATTCGGCAGAATTCAAGAAGACAGACAAGAGCATCTTAGTCAGCCCCACAGGCCCCTCCCGAGTGGCCTTCAACCCTGAGCAGAGGCCCCTCCACGGAGTGCTGAAGACCCCCACCAGCTCCCCTGCCAGCACCCCCCCGGGGACCAAGAAGCCGCTGACTGCCACCCCAAAGAGAAGGCCAACAGCTATGGACTTCTTCTAATAGTAGCAGAGTCCCTTTGTAAAAACTGCTTTTGTACAGAATACTCTATAAATTATAACTTTTAAAAGGTGTGGTGTTTTTTATTGCTTTATAAATTGTATATAGAGGGTCAGAGTGTGAGCCATGACGCTGCTGTGGGCATCTTGGTTGAAGTTTCACTACAAACACGGTTTGTGCTGGCGCTCACCAGGATTTCCACACTCGTGGAACCTTGGTGACTCCCCTAGCGTGGGAGCCGAGAGCATGTGACCTTCACCACTGATAGATGATGCTGGCAAGTGACAGCCTGGGGTTAGACTCCATTGGCTGTCCGCCTGTGCACAGCTTGGGTACTCGTGTCTGCCTGCTTGGCTGATTTCTGGTGGTTTTTCACGTAAGTCTCCATTTAAAAAGCACCTAGGCTTTGCTCCCAGGCTCTGTGGGTAGTGGGCAGTTTTTGATCGGATGACTCTTTGAATCCGAAATACAGCTGGGGATGAGCCTTCTAGTGGGGGCAGGAGAGCAGAGCCCGTGGCCTGTGGCCTTCCCTGTGTTGCTACCTCTCAGACAGCCCAAAGTGTCCTCATCGGAGAACAGCGCCCCCCAGCGCACCCCCGTCCAGTCATCGTGCTCTGGCTGCTCTGTATACGTAAAAGTCTGTGCCAGCGGCCTATCGCCGGGCGTCCACATGAGCAGCTCTCCCATCTTAAGTGAAAACAGTGCTCCAAGGCCTGGCCACAGCACCCGGAGACCGAGCTCCTGCTGGGAGGCCGGCGAGCAACTGCCAGGACCATTTGTGTGTATTTACTTGTTCATAGTTACCTAATATCTGAAATGCTGAATCATGCACTAGCAGATTTTTATAAAGTCCTCATTTTAATTAGAAAGGTGGGAGGCACACAGACTTATAGTTGGAGAAACAAATGCAACTTGGAGCAGCGCTGCTTAATCCTTAATCTGATCCCAGAGCCTGAATGAGGGGTGAGATGCAGACTCGGGAGTCAGGGGTCGCGTCAGAAAAGCCCCTGGCCCGGCTCATTCTGAGTTTGCACAATAACAAATTGCAGACCTAAAGATGCAGTCGTAACTGGGGGACACACAGTTTTGCCTCAAGTGCCCAGTGCTTCCCCAGCCTGCTCTCCACTCAGGGATCTCAGGCCTCCTAGAGTGAAAGCCTCCCTCCCCCCAAGCAGGAGCCCCAGTTTCTCACCAAAGCCAGGGCCAGCCCACATTGCTACTTCCCAGCTGAGGGCCCGGGGTGCCACCCCTCCCTGGTCAGGGCTGTGGCTTCGGAAGAAAGGCCTTCTGGGATGACATGGTCCAGCTGAGTGGTTTCCTTAATCACATGACCAGGGGGGCAGACTTACGCAGGAAGGCCCTGCTGCGAAGGAAGGGGAACTGTTCTCTGCCTGCTCTATAACGAAGTGTCACAATTAGGTCAGGAAGAAAGAAAGTGCTGCTGTTAGCTCTTGTAGTGAGACGTCTTCATACAAGATGACCTTGTGGCTGCATGGTTTTAGTGAGCTACATTCGACATCATACTTAAAAGTCATTCAAAACCAGAACTGATGTGTGAAAAGATTAGATTTGAGTTGTCAGATATTTTTAACTTCATTTTTTTTACAAAAGTATCATTATTGGTCAAATTATTTTTCTAACAACTTTTATTTCAGCTTTAAAGATAGGTCTTATAGTCAAATGGGCCATGTAATCCAGCCATGTTAAGATGTCTTAGCAAAACATTCTAGGGCAAAAAATGGCACATTTATTGTCGTGATGTGTGCAGGACCTTCTCTTCGTAGCGCTGTATGTCACCTGTCTCTTCTGGGCTACCAGCGAGTGCCCTGTGCGTGCTCCTGCACGTGCCTGCCTGCGGACTGGGTCCTGAAGGAACAGTGTGTCTTGGGTTCCATCTGTCCTCTGACTCTGTCCTAACTTACTCCATTTTGTGGGTAAGTCCAGTAGGTTTACTGTGGCTTATTTTTAATGCCTAAATTTTGGCTACAAAAGAAAAAAAAAAACAATTTTTTAAAATTCTCATTACGTATACATACAAGAATGTCAGATAAACTATTTAGAATACTGGTTTTCTACTTGATGCATGCTATTTTCCTAGGTAAAATCGCCAAGGGGACTTGGCAGTCCAAAATAGGAAATAATTTAATGCTGTCGATCTTACAGTATTTTGTAAAACAATCGTCTGTACGATTTGGTATCACACTTTACAGCGTATTGTCCTTTCTAACTTTTACTGAGCTGAAAGCACAAAGGGGAGTATAAAGCAGTTGTTAGTGTTGGAAAAAAATATGAAATTGAGTCCATATTTTGATTTTTGTGTGTTTTCTCTGAACTTACCTGACTGCTGGCAAGGACTGTTTGTTTACGACCACTTGTGTTAGTGTCTGCAGGGTTTGTCAGTACTCATCAAAGCCAAGTTCAATAAAAAGTTGTCTTTGCCTCAGACTTGTATTGGATATTGACGGTCAGTGTGCATAAAAATACGCCTCTCGGGGAACTGCTCGGTGCAGCCGGGGTGGGAGGTGTTGGCGCCGTTGTGAGGGTTTGGAAACAGACTGTTCAGGCACCTGTCCTCATGTGTTCACTACACGGGAGCCGGGGGGAGGGTGGGGGGGGGCTGCTGGGGGAAGTCGTCCGCGGGATAGGGGAGCAGACACTCGCTGCCAGACCTACCAAAGCACGGGCCTTGGCCTGTGAGGACGATGCAGAGGTGCCACTGTCCTGGGTGCCTCCCCAGCTCATCCCAGATCACCGCCAGGTGTTGAGGGCACCGTGGAACAGGAAGGCCCACCCCCCATTCGTATGTCCTGACCCCCGTGTCCGCACTGGGACCACACAGCACTGCACCACCTGGATGCACCTGTGTTCGTCCGTCCCTCTAACAAGAGGCATTGAGTTTTCTGTCTCAAATGTAGTTCCAACATACTGCTCTTAGAGAAGCATCCATCTGTTGTCCAACTTATTTATGTGTGCATTGATTGCTTCGTGTATGTGTCCTGACAGGATCGAACCTGCAACCTTGGTGAATCGAGACTAACCAACTGAGCTACCCGGCCAGGGCTCCTCTGTCTAGTTCTGTCTTTTCACCCCTCTTCACAGGGCCTCACCAGGGCCCCCTTCCTAAGATACTGTAGGGATCAGGGAGCAGCCCTGTCCGGAAGGTTTGGGGGTTAGGGCAGAGGTTCCTTCACCCTCCCTCCACAAGCCTAAAGACACACTCGGAAGGGCATTTTTCAGAGTGACCATCACTGGATCTCTCCCCATCTCTGTGCCTGCAGCTCTGAGCCTTCGGCCATCAGCTGGCTCCCGCTCTCCCACCGCCCCACTTCTCGCCCCACATGCACTGCCTTTGGCTCTTTTGAGCCTCCATGGCTGTCCCCCTCTTTCCACATGCACCCACATGGTGAGCTCAGAGAACAGCTTTGCACATGACAGGAGCCACCCTCCTAAGAAGACTACTTCTCCCTGCGTACACGGACTGTGTCCTCTACACCAGCGGTCGCCAGTCTTTCGGACCTCACGGACCACCGTTTGGCCACCGCTGCGCTACACCACTCAGCAAATGCTGCACCCCTGCTGCGCCAGGCCTCATCCTGGACGAGGTACTGCAAATGCAGGGGTCAGTAGACACAAGCCGTGCCCTGACGTGGTGGAGACAATAAACAGGTGACCGTGTGCTTGTCAGCAGGGGACAGGAGCTCCAGATGGGAAAGCAACCCAGGAAGAAGGCAAGGATGCAGTGGGCGCCCTGTCATACGTGACACCACCCCACCCCGGAGAGCTGGACAACTTTGTGCAGATGGCACTCAGACTTCACAAACACCGTCTCCTTTTGAGTTTCTACTGAACTTCAAGCACAAGGAGTATAGAGACCACCGGGAAACAGTTGCTGGTTTTATTAAGTGTTGGAAAGAATATTAAATTGAATCCGTATTGACTGGGGCGGGGAGGGGGAGGGCTTTAAAAAAAAAAAAAAGATAAATTGAATCCGTATTTTAATGTTTATGTTTTTTCTTAATTTACCTGGCTGCTGGCAAGGCCTTTTTGTTTGCAGGAAGGCAGCATTTGAGCAGACACCAAAAGAGGTTGAAAAGTGACTTGGGTGTATCTGGAGAAAGCATTGCAAGCAGCAGGAACCACACATGCAAAGGCCCTGAGGCAGGGGCATGTGAAGAACAGCAAGGAGAAGTGGGGCCTCCAGGTGGCAGTGCAGGGAGCTCAGGGACCCCAACTGTCCCCATAGAGGACATCTGACATGCTGGTCAGGATGACAAAGACAACCATTCAGAGTCTCTAGGGATTGGTCAAAGGACTGCAACAAACTGAGAAGCATGTATTCAACAAAATCTACAGAAGCTGAGTAAGACTAGCAGGAGGCTGTGACACGAACCTGGGCTGCAGCCCTGGCCCATGGTTCTGCCTTCCATGAGTACTTCAGTGGGCTCTGCGCCCAGGCTGTTCCCACCTCCCCTTCTGGGGACAGGGGAAGAGGGGGGGAGAAGTGGGGAGGGAAAGAGCTGTTCCACCTAGATCAGCAACCAAAGTGACATTTACCTCCAAGCTTCCACAGATGCAGAGGGAGCGCAGGGAGGGCCCAGAGGCTGGTGTGGGGCTGGTGTAGGTGTTGTGGAGGACGCACCTTCTAAAACTCAGAGGGGAGCTGTGGGACTCGAAGCAAAAGCCCATGTCTCTCCAGACCCTGGGAGGTGCAGGAGCTTCTCCCTGGGGAGCCTTCTCTTCTGCCAGGTTCTGCAATTGACAGATGTCCCCACAGCTTCCCAGGAGGGAAATGTAATGAGTTCCTATCCACAGAGGAGGCAGCAAGGCTTGGAGAAGCCAGGCCCTTGCCCAGGCCTCACGGCTGGTACATGCCTGAGCAGGGGTCTGATCCCAGCTCCCCTGATCTGCAGAGCCCAGGCTATGACCTCCACCCACCAAGCCCTGGCCCCACAGGGCTGTACATGTGCTTCTCGAAGTTTGGGCACTGGCCAGCAGCAGGGCACCTCCAGAGCGGGTTAGGGACACAGGATCTCAGCCCCTCAGAGCCACGGGATCGGCACCTGCATCTCGCCT